GAAAAGATGCCCATCTCAAGTTTGCAAAAAAAACCAAAAAAAAAAAACCAAAAAACCTAGGACTTCTATTCAAGATTTTACGATACTGACTTCCAACAAAAGATCATAAATGTCTGCATCACACAGAACCTTGTAAGAAAAGGACATAATTGAATTTGCAATAATTATATATCCAATACAAATCTCATTAAAAATATGTATAAGATTAAGAATATAGTACATTGTCACACACAATATAAATTATCCCACTTAAAAAAATATCAAAAAAGAATGCCATACATAAAATTATAATATGCAATGGGCTTAACCTAAGAATTAAAGCCCCCTCTTTGCTTTACAAAAGTAGATTCGAAAAGATGCCCATCTCAAGTTTGCAAAAAAAATTTTAAAAAAAGCCTAGGGCTTCTATTCAAGGTTTTACGATATCTGACTTCCAACAAAAGATCATAAATGTCTGTATTACACAGAATCTCGTAAGAAAATGACATAATTGAATTTGCAATAATTATATCCCATACAAATCTCATTAAAAATATGTATAAGAATATAGTACATTGTCACACACACAATATAAATTATCCCACATAAAAAAATATCAAAAAAGAATGCCATACATAAAATTATAATATGTAACACGAATATAAAATTATCCCACAAAAAAATATTGAAAATACCATATTATAAGGATGTAGAGAATATAGTACATTGACAAACAAATATAAATTATCCCACAACAAATATTGAAAAAGAATGCCATACATAAGGATATAATCCACATTACTGTATATTAGCAAATCATGAATTAATATTGTAATATTATCTTTTAAATAAATTTAATGCTTCATGCTTCATCCCAGTTTAACTTTAAGTATCACATCAATGAAAAACTAGCTCACCAGCCTTGAATTTACTACCACTTACGAACGTAAAATTTTACTAATTAGGTTTAAGCTCACTAAGTGTTTTGAACAACTATTCATCCATTAACAAACAAAGAATTCACTTGCCTGGATATTGAGATGCGAGACCAAACGATCATTGCCTTTGCTCTTAGCCTCCATGGAGACTACATCGTATGGCCGGCCACCCTCTAGCTGTCGCCCAAGACGACTAATTTCTTGGTCACGGCTGTCAACCTGGACGTAAAAATTGGAGTTCAATTGGTAGTCAATTGTAAAACACATGTTTATGAATGATTCCTGATGTGTGTGTGTTTAACAAATTACAAACAAGATTTCTTTTTTCAAAATTTTCTTTCTACAGTATATTACTCACTGTTGAGCTATATATAGTAAAACCAGATGATGTTTGGTAGTGGACAAATTTTTAAAATATAATTCAACAATTATTTTTTTTTACAGCCCTGTAAAACTGGTAGTACATTTTAGGCCAAATGAAAAAAAATATTAGGTTCTCGTCCCCTTGCGCATCCATTTCCTCTGCCTTGCCAATTTTTTTTTTTTTTTTAATTTCCTTTATTTTACGAAATTTACTAAAAAATCTGGCTAACTCGCATCAGAAAAATTCCTCTCTCAATCGTTCGTGGTTGGGGATACATATGGTATGAATCATGTCAGTGCTTCTTTTATTTGCTTTCAATGTGTCTACCTGGTAAAAGTGAGAAAGTAGTAGTTGTTTCACATCGATCATCTTGGATTTGCCATCTCAGAGTGTAAAAAAAAGTGCCTTCATTCTCCCTTTTTTCAACATATTAGGACGAGAAACTACTTTTTTTTTTTCATTTGGCCTTAATGGCTCAAGACAAGTTCAAGTTCAAGTTTATTAAAAATCACGTTCCCAGGGAGTAGCTGAATTGAAATAATCTGTAGGTTAAAAAGAAAATAAAAAATAGAGAGGGATCCTTGTCTAAAAATACTTTATGGTATAGCACTTGGCGAAGCACTGATACAAAGAAGAAAATACTTCTGCCAAGAACAAAGAGGCCTAGGTAGATGTAATATCATAAATACAGATATAAAGTATCCAATAATGAAGTATTGTTTGAAGGTTTGCATGGCGAAGTAATAACATATATGTTGAAGCTTGCGGTACACCACGTCGGTAGTTCTGAAAAGAACTGTTGTAATTGAGAAAGTCTCGACATTTCGATTGAGTTGCTTCAATCGTCTTCAGGCGAAATATCCAATCCAATATTGGTATGATTCGTATTCAGTTACTGTATGCTGTTGAGAAATATTGTAATTATGCCCTTTTTATATTTTTTTTTTTTTTAAATAAAGACAAAAGCAAAAAAAGCAAAAAAAAAAGCAAAAGGGGATGGTATATGCCCACTGTTCCCATCGCTAGAACCCTGTATCCAAAAAACAACAATAATGACATTAGAACAGAAGATGAACATGAGTCACCGTGCATGCATTTACTACAGAGACAATGCAATGTAAAGCTATGAATTATTAAGTGTTGACCAAAAATATGAACTTGTCACATTATGCACAGATGTTCAGCATTAATTATTAATTATTAAAATGAAGGAAATTTCATTAGCAGAACACAAATGGAATCAGAAGATCGTGGTTCAATGGTCTAACATTGAGAAATTTCATTCATACTATAACCATTAAACATCAACAAGAAAAGGTGACAAGGAAGACTCCTCATATCCATCTAACACTTTTCTTTTATTTTTTACCCCTCATGTTCTTTTCCCACTTCAATACTATGTACAGTATTTAAAGTGCAGTATTTCTCAATGAGTACTGAAAGAAATTGATTGATTCCTGGGCTAGCAACCAACGGCAGCTGTGTTACACTGGCTGAGGAGAAGGGGGTTATAATAAATAGAAATAAATGATTGAGAAATAGTGTATCTGTAATAATAATATTACAATGGGACTTTATTTGATGTAGGCTTAACTTAACTTGAGAATGATTTGTGTCCACTCCAAATATAAACAGATACCCCGGCAAATTTATTTAGATTCTCACCACCTTAAATGTATTCGATTACAGAGTTATTCACTCGGTACAAGGTAAAAACACCTTTAGGATTTGGGTGCTAATATTTGATCTGTACAGGATAGTAGCCCTGGTTTGTGTTGCATACAGTACATCAGGTTTAGAGTAAACATAAACAAATATCTTTAAAGAACTATAAACACAATAGAATGATCTGTAGAAAACTTTTGAGCAGACAGTGAAGCGTGTGCAGGCCTGCACGTGTGTAGTGCTTAGAATTCATTCAGATGCTCACAATGCAGATTCTCCGGTTCAACTTAACATGGGTAACTATGAGGCTATTGTACCTTTTCATCAAATAAAAATAGTGCCATCTTAAATTTAGGTGTGCTTAATAGTAGAACTCAAGTTTATTTGCTGATTCTCCTTTAACACCTTTAAATCGACTGTTTAACACTGTCATTTACCACATCTGTTTTACCTGTCCCTTGCTAGATTTTCCATTATATTTTCCCTCCAAATAATATTACCAATATAAATTACCATGGATACGCTCTACTGTAGATCGATCATCGTCATTGTCAACATTATCAAAATAAATTTATTACGGTATTAAAGTAGTCATTACTAGGACGACCCTCACACTGCAAAAGTACTGACATCAGAGTTATGTTTCTATCCATAGTTAGTTTATATATATTTCCATGGCTCGTAATTATTTCAAATAATCGACTGCAATATAGCAAAAATGGTTATTTTTGGTTCATAATTGAGAAGAAACTATAATATTATCTTTTGCTTCAAAATGAGCAATGTAAAAAAATTGTCAGAAAAGGATCATTAACCTTATCATCTGAGACCCGATTAAAACCATAAATAATATTCATAAAGGAATATGGACAATTTCATTTGAAATATGATAACATATATTTTAAGTGCTTTCTAATATTTTCATCAATTGTGTTAAAATTGTCACGCCTCAGTGATCCCATTTACAAAGAATGTAAAATCCAATTTGAAATAGTGAAAACCAACCACACCTATTAGTAACTTGATACAACAAAAACAAACTATGCTTTATTCAATGGAACAATGGAAGTATTATGTTAAGAGAAATAATTCATGTAATATAATATTATCTAAGAACACACAAAGCATTGAATGTACAGGTAGCACAATTTTTAGATGAAACAAATGGAATGAAGGAGCTTTACTGTACAAAATATGCTTCATATTAATAATTAATATTGATTGCTAAAGTGCTTTTAATATTCTTCATTTCATTTATTTACTTCGTCCAAAAAACATTAAAATTGACAAACCCAAGAAAACAAAGAGCAGAAAACAACACACAGTTGGGCAGACAGGTTTGCCAAAAAGTGAACTGAATTTGTCTAGTGGCTCTCTGATGCCAATGAGAACATAAATTAAATAAAGCATATTAAAAATATTCAAGTAAAATAGGCCAATCAATAAAATTTAAATTTAAAATATATATGTACAAAATCACCAGGGCCTATTTTTCTTGCATATGACAAGCATTTAAAATACTATTAAAAATAAACTTCTAGTTACCTAAATTAGAAAACTGCAGTAATTGTGACAATGAGGCTAAATAATTTGTAGAATAACAACTACAACAATAGTATGCTTACTACTTGTAGTAGTATAATAATTAACAATTAATAATAAAATAATAATTATTAAAAATATTATTAATATTTAATTATAGTTTTATTAATTAAAATTAAAATATTGTTAATTACAGTACAGTAAAATTTATCATCATTAAAAAGTGAACCATACTGTATACATCGAATGTTATCTAATTCAAACCCTGGTTTGAGAAAAACATTTTATTTTGATTGTAGATCCTCGAGACTAGAAGGTGAACATATTAATGATTGTGAAAATGATGCAAAGTGATAAGAGTAATGTGGGAATACAGTAGGTACTGTACCTGCCAGTATCTATGGCTACAGTATTACTATTAGGAATGGTGTCAATACTTTTCAAAAATGTTACTCTGTTTCCCCCTCGATGTTTGCATTAAACTAACTAACTAAACACTACTAGCGTATGCAAAACTGGCCGAGTAAAACAAATTGATTAACCTCTCTTTGAAATACTGAACATTAAATTTGATTTTCAATTAAATTGAGAAGCTTTTAATCATGCACTACTGTGAAGATCTAAAACGATGACTTCAAATTTGGTCATCTGCGCATGTAAAGATGTTGCGTTCTCATTACCGTTGGAATTCTAGAACATGGTTTGAGACTCTGGAGTGAATAATATTTATGGTCAGATGATAAGATTTACAATCTTGTCCCAGTGCTTTTATTACATTTGATTTTTAATAATGATACACACTCTATGGTCAGAATAAAATAAAATACTAAAAATCTATGAAAATAAAATGGACTTCAAAATGTTTTTAAAAGACATACTGGCATAATTTAATGATTTACAGCTTTTAATATGGAAAGGAAGTTGCTGGCAGAAATTTTAGAGTATAGATACAGGAATAGTACGAAGTGCTATGGTAAGCCACGTCTCACTCTCAGATATGACAACATAACTCAAGGCAAGACCATGTATTTTTAAATCATATTTACATTCTTGCTAATCCTAATAACAGTAACATATTCCTGGTGAACCAAATAGGTAGAATCATGGACAGTAATAAATCACTTGCAATATATTGAGTGTCCAGTATTACAACACTGTAGGGTAAAAACATTACTCCTACTGTATATGGCATAAATTCTTTCAAACTTACACCTTATGTTGGCCTACTGGCTATTATGAGTCGATAATGACAGGTATAGCTTACCCTGTTTTTAGATCTGTTCCGTCGCCGACTATTATATATCCCTGTACTCATTTTGAATGGCCCCAGGCAGTAGACATAAACAAAAACAACTGTGTTGATGTAATAGTATCCGTAGAATAGGATGAATACAGCCTGTTACCTGTCTAGCCCCCGGCCTAACTCTGCCATACTTCCTGTCCTCAGCACAATATTCACAAGCTTTCACAGCAATGTTTTGACAGAGTAAAGTAAACCCGATTCAAATCCTAACCGACGCATTTAAAGGAGCAACCAATTGGTCCTCATTAGCATTTCAAAAGCATCCCTATAAATCATTATGAACTTAGTTTTTGGACTTTCATTCAGGTGCTCTGAAGCCAATAGATAATTGTCTATGGTATCAATGAGTGTTTGAAGACCATTGACCAATCACAAACAAGCAACACCTCTTCTTTAACCAATAGCTTCAATTGAATTCCCAGGTATCAAAGGTCAATGCCTTAATAACAGTAATCTGCTCCACATGTAGCGTACTTGGCAACCATCTCCAGGATAGTCCATTATATAAATGGGGGTGCAAATCAAATTAACTAAACTTATAATTTTCTGAATATTATTATTTATAGCTTATTCAATTTAAATGTTACATTCTGTATTGCGTAATGGTATTTAAAAAAAAAAAAAAAAATTTTGAAACAAGTGTGTTTAAAATCAAATGGTAAAATTTTACACGAATATACCCCATTGTTCTATAATGTAGGGAGCCATTATGGCTCCCTCATTAATGGTACAAATATAATGCACTAGCTATAATATTTACCAATCTGTGATAAACATGGAAGTATAAAAAAAACCACAAAGATACTTTGCACCATATCATCTATTATTAATCTTAACTACAATGTACAGATAATAAATGTACCTGTATTGTTTACAGTTTACCTGACATATATCGATAAAGAATTGTTTAATTAACCTTCTGATTTCTATAGTTAATTTCAAAAAAAATTTTCTTGTTAATATTATTTTATATGTTTCTTTTCATGTACTAAAATTGGTTGGTAAACAACATTTATTATAAAGAGTTTTGTAGCAACTATATTATAAAATTAAATCTGTTAGGGTTTTCTTAGGTTAGATACAGAAAGGGGTATTCAATACCTCCCATAGTGCACAAATATATAAATCTAGAATTTTAGATAAGACCTACCTGTTTCCTTAGGCTACGAATTGCTTTTTCATATGATTCATTCAGTTCCCGTAATCGGTCAACCTCCCTCTGCAGTTCATCAATTTTACTATCTGCAACGTGTAATAGATCAGCTACATAAGGGTCAGAAACTGACGGAACAGAGGGGGCGCGTGTCTCTTGTGAAGGCACCACTGTAGAATCAATGTCCATACGTTGGCGTCTGAATGGAATGTTCTTCTTCCTTCCTCCTGTAACAAGGTTGGTTAATGAGATTTAAAGATGACATCACATCATGACCATAAATAGTTCCATCATGACTATATATGGGCTCATCATGACTATATATGGTCATACAACAGTTTTTTGTCCAAGGAAATGTGATAGTCTCGACAAAGCTTAAGGATGTACTGTCCCTTGAAAATGACCAAAATCATAAAAAATAATTTTTAAATTAACTTGCTCATTTTGCAGTAACATACAAATTATAAACTTAAGCATAGAAATTATTAAATTAAAAAAATGTGTTCCCTGATTTTTTAACTGGATAATTATAATAAAGATAATAAAACACTTCCAGTGACTGGAAGTGTTTCTATCATTTTTTCGCTGTAAAATGATGGTTTTTATGGGTAAGCATTTTTTAAATACACTAATTTCTAAGTTCAAATTGATAATTTTTATGTTACTTTAAAATGAGCAAGTAAATTTCAAAAATGATTTTTATGATTTTTTTTTTGGCAGTACATCTTTAACTTGGTGAGTGAGAGGGTATCAATTTGCTGGTAACTACAGAAGATACGCTGTACAATTAAGTTATGTGCAAGATCTGAAGTGCACTATTGTGTCGATGCACCATGAGCATCTTTACAGATTGATACTGCTATCAACAAATTTTCATTTATATTACGGAATTTATATAAAGAGCTAAGAATTTGTTCCATAAGCATTTGATTCAGTGACTGGGGTAAAGATGCTAAGAACACAGAGCATTGGGTTCTACAGTATATTTAACTATGATATAACACTGGTGCAAAGTTTGTAGGTTGAATCAATTGAAGGTCCAATGATCACGCAAGGTCGCGAAGCATGCTAGGGTCAAGAGGGAAATGTGGCCACCCCTAGATGAAAACAATTTTTTAGAACATAGAGTGAAATGATGCAATAACAGTTGGCTGAATAAATGCAGATCAGAAATGGCCTGTGTGTTGCCATTCGAAAACTCTGAGCATAGAGATCTTGTTGGTATAATCCACTACATATTAAGACTAACATTATAATTATTATACTATTACAAAAACATTTTTTTTTTCTGTTAATAATCATAATAATAATAATAATAATAATAATAATAATAATAACTAACAGTAACAGTAACAATAATAATAATAATAATAATAATAATAATAATAATAATAATGGTAGACTTATATAGCACATAATGTTAAGCCCTCTATGCATTACATATTATCGTTACCCCTAATAGTATTCCCTAACATTGAAGCAGCTACAGCAGCGCATTTTGGCATTCAACCCTACCAGGTATTCACTTACACTCCTGGGTGGAGAGAAGCAATGTAGATAAAGTGACTTACTCAACGACACAAGCGAAAAGGAACAGTGAGGGATTGAAACGCCGACCTCGAGGTTGGCAAACCAAACCGTTTCCGCTGCCCCAAACCACTGTTAAGGGCAGGATGACTTATTAGGGATTTAATTGGTTAAATAAAAAACAAAATCATTATTTTCTTTGAATTATCTTAAAAATGTTATTACTTACCTGGTGTTTGCACAACTGCCTTGAAGTTTTTCTCCTGAAGCTGAGCGATTCGGTCCGACTTTTGTTTTGACTCTTTCTCTGTGGCGCGTACTTTATGAACGTATTGAGTGTTGAGGAATCTAAGATCCGCATTTTCGTGCTCCAGCTTGCGAATCGTAGACTTAAGATTCTTGCTGGTTGAGTCGAGATCTTCCTTCAGTTTGATCAGCTGAAGATGTAACTCATTGTTTTCTTTCACTAGCTTGGCATTGTCACTCCGGTATGGTTCAATCTGTTCCTCCCATGTTCCTTTCTCATGAATCACTTGGCTAGCCTGGATTGGAACAAAACTTGAGCTGGTTAGATATTTAAATTCCTTTTATATTGATAATTTTTATATTAAATTTCAACCATGTTTATAAGCTAGGATAAACCATTCAGTGACAACTGATTATTTGAGGAGACCAAAAATTACACCTAGTAAAATAATATCATTCATACAATAACACCTCTATGTTTATAGATTAGATTTTGAGTTATGTGCTGCCCCCTATAGTTCAATAAATAACAGGAACATCATTAAATGGATTGAACAGGTGCAATGTGAACATCCCCAATCACTGCTGCGTCACATATCCTGGATGACAACAGCCAATGCAGGATATATTTGCATATTCAGTTACAAAAAATGGAATCATATTTTTAATTTAATTTCATGGAAAATCTACTTATTTATTGGCTAGGCTATTTGTTGGTTTATTCAGAATACTATAAATAACATTTTTTTCTTCTTTTTTTGTGGGGGAGGGGGTGGGGTTTTGATGAAAACAGAAAATTTGTATAATAAACCAGGATAAAATTATTGTTGGAGCCTACCACAATCACATTATTCTGAACAAAAAAGCATATTCACAATATAGCAGCTCCCTTTAAAAGGACATAGGATAGACTTAATTATTTAAAAAAAAAAATCAGTATGATGATAAATAATATTATAGTGTTCCTATAAATAATAATTATTAAAATATGAATTATTATAAGTTTAATAATTATACTGTATTATTTTCTAAAAATATGTATTAAATATTTCTATTTATGAATTTATTTAGCTTTGCATTTAATTATTTTGAGCGGGGAGGAAAAAGCCTTTATATATTACAGTATATATATTATAAAGGTAGCCTACTTCACAACTAGTCAACGCATTGAAATTTCAGGATAATGTCCTACTTGTATATAAATCTAAAATAAGAAAATGTAATACATTTCTCTCTCTAATTAAAGACCTCTCAAATTAAAAACATTTTCTGTGGTCCAATATTAACAAATGTCTTTCATTTTTATTACTCTATTAGAGAGCAAAGCTGGTAAAAAAGTGGTCTTTAATTAGAGGGAGACCTGTATTGATCCACAAATGGAAAA